TAAGAGGTTCTGCCCAGCTGGACATCTAGGAGCTGCCCCTAGAAGAATTCTCAGAGACAGAGACACCACAGTCTGTTTCTAACACTTACTCTCATCTCTGTCTCCCAAATGTTCACATCAAAGTTCTTAACGTCTAACAGTTTATCCTGCTGCTGTTGCTGAAATCAGCTATCTCTTCCTCAGTGATCTGGAAACCAAGAAGGCATTGCAAGCTCTCAAAGACCATTGTATTAGGCTCGACTCTTTCAGTTGCCAGAACCAGAGACCAACTTAAATTAGCTTAAACACAAGAACAGAATTAATGGCTTATGCTCCCAGGGTGCAGGGGGTCAGCTCTTACTAGGACGCTGTCACTCTTTCCATATCTTCCCTCAGTGGTTCTTGAAGTGTGGTATCAGACCAGCAGCATCAGTTTCACCTGGGAACTAGTTAGAAATGCACATTCTCAGGCCCCATTCAAGACCTACTGACTCAGATACTATGGAGCTGCGGCCCAGAAATCTGGGTTTTAATGAACCTTCCAGGTAATTCTGATCCATGCTAATATTTAAGAATCACTGGCTCAGCTCTGCTTGGCCTAACTTTGCACACACTCCTTTTCTAGGGGGCAGGTCTGATGGCCCCCTTGCAACCCTATACTCACAGCCTCCCACCTCAGCAACCCCCGACACAAAGCAACTTTTCTCCGGCTCAGCATTCACACATCCATCCCAGGGAAGATTCTGATTGGCCTTTCATGAGGCATGTGTCATCCCTGAGCTCATCACTGTGACCAAAGGAATAGTTTACTCTGCCTAGCAGGGCTGTGTCATGTGACTACCTCCATGATCAGGTCTCATGATTGACCGCCAACCCCCCATCCCCACCAAGGAAATCAGAAGTAGAAGAAACCATGGTAGCCAGACAAAAATCAGAAGTAGAAAAAACAAAACAAAACATGGTAGCCAGACAAAAACCATGGCCATCGCTGCCCTCCACAACTATCCCAAGTCTTTTCTATAGCCTCTTGACCTGGGGGAGGAACTGCTTCTCTAGAGCTTTGGAGTCGGACAGAGATGTGTTTGAATCCAGGTCCTGCCACTTGCTTGCTATAGAGGCTTAGACCAGCTGCTTAATCCCTCTGAGCCTCTGGTGTTCTTACCTATAAACTGTGAACGACCCTAATGCCCACCTCACAATGACTGAATACTGCAGTTGACCCTTGAACGATGTGGGGATTAGGGGCACTGACCCTCCTTGCAATTAAAAATCTGCTTAGAAGTTATAGCTGGCCCTCTGCATACACAGTTCCTCCATAGCCACAGATTCAACCAAGTGCAGAACGTAGCACTGTAGTATTTACTATTGAAAAGTATCCACAAATAAGTGGACCTGTGCAGTTCAAGCCCATGTTGTTCGAGGGTCAACTGTATTTGGAAAGCGCCTGGCATGCAGCCTGGGTGATCAGCAAATGCAGGTTCTTTCCTGCCTGCCAGCCGCACACAGCTTCCAACCTCAAACCAAATAACGATATATATTGTTTGTGCGTCATGGTGTTCACAGCACCTGGCATGTAACCTTCGAGTTAAGTGAATGAATTTGACTTGTCAAGCTGCCTTCCTTGCCCTTTGTGGCTTTGTTCCCACAATGACTGGCCCTAAGTGAAGCAGTTGGCCTTAGAGCTGAGAATGAGATATTTACTATAGACTAGGTCTATAGTAAATAGACCAGACTCCATCCTGGCCGTACATGAGAATCACTCGAAGGCTTTTTAAAAATTCCAAGGCCAAGGTGATGCCACCAGAGAGGTTGATGCCACCAGAGATTCTGATTCAATAGTTCGGGGGTGAGGCATTGGGAGTTTTTGAAGATTCTCAGGTGATTTTTAAAAAGACCCATGGAACTCTGATTCTACAAGGAAATTGGAGCCCAGAGAAGAGAAGCCACTGACCCAAGGTCACACAGCAAGCTGGTAACAGAGCTCCCTATGCTTCTCAAACTGTCTCTCTGTGTTTGTGACCTCTCTGCTCCCCACTGTCCCACTTCAGAGCCTGTATGTGGCCAGCTCATGCCAGCTCAGACGCCTGGAATCAGCCAGGTACTCATCCGTGTGTTCCCATGTGGCCGAGACATTCCAGGGCGGAGCAGTGGTCAGGGCCTTCCGGGTCCAGGGCTGCTTTGTGGCTCAGAACGACGCACACATGGATGAAAGCCAGAGAGTCAGTTTCCCGCGGCTGGTGGCTGACAGGTAGGAAGGGGGCAGAGAAGAACCTATAATCCTTCTGTGTCCCCAGAGGATGAGACCTAAGGTCATACTGTATGGTCAGAGAGGTCACGTGGCCTGCTCAAGGTCACACAGCGAGTCGAGGGTAAAGCAGAGCCTAGACCCCATGGGTGCACATGGCTCACAGTGTGAGCAGATGGACCTTGGCCTGAGGGATCCCCAACCACAGATGGGCAGGAAGTACAGGTGTCAGCAAAAGGGAAGAAGCCTCTGTTGCCAGGCCACTAGACCAGCCTCTGTTGCCTTGGTGACAAAGGAGCTACATAAGCATCCTCGGCCTCCTTTCGGTACTAAGCGAGAATAAGAACACAAGTTTTGAGCACAGACAGACACAGGTGCAAATCCCAGCTCTGCAACTTACTAGCTGGATGATCTTGGGCAAGTCACATAACCTCTCTGAGCCTCATTTGTCAAAGTGAGTTTGCACTCATGGAGTGGCTACTGAGATTAAACAAATACACTCACAGCTAATCCTTGTAATGTGCTTACCACATGCCCAGCACAGTCCTCAGCATCCTCTGTGGATTAATTTATTTAATCCTATTAACAACTCCACCAGGCAGAGACCCTTTTATAGATGATGAATCTTAGGCACAGAGAGATTTAGGAACTTGCCCAGGGCCACACTGCAAATACATGGTGGAGTGAGGATTTGAATCCAGTCAGTCTGGTGCCAGAGTGTGGAGAGGGTCAAGCACACAGTGGGTGTGAATTCAATAAATGTCAGTTCCTTCCTTCTTTCTGCCCAGATCTCCAGCCAGCTGGGGCTATGAGGCCCTGCAGCTGTGGGCAGTGTCTCAATGCCATATGCCTTCTGGGTGACCTGCCCTGCCCCTTCCTGGGGTCCTAGCCTAGGGAGGAGGGACCTTACAAACATTTACAAAGCACCTACTTTGTGGAAGGGTCAATGATTTCTGCGCCATATACGATGGGTGTATCTCATTTAATCCTCACAACTATAATGAGCCAGACGTTACTTCATCCCACAGATGGGTAAACTGGGGTTCGGAGAAGTGAAGGGACTCCCCCAAGGTCAGCCATCTAGGAAGTGGCAGACCCTCAGTCAGGCAGATGTGGCTTCAAATCCCAGTGTTTGTTATGTTTGTGGACTTGGGCAAGTACCTAACCCTTCTGGTGTCCTCATCTGTCCAATGGGGACAACAGTCCTCCCATCGTGGGGTTGTTAAGAGGACTAGGTGTTATATGCAGTGAAGCCCAGAGTTCCCTGAAGACAGGGATTTTTATCTGTTTGGTTTGTGGCTGTGTCCCCAGCATCTCCAGCATGCATGGCACACAGTAGGTGCTGAATACATATCTGCTGAATGAATGCATGAATGAATGGTCAAGTAGGAATTCAATAAAAGGAAAAAGAAGTAGGAATTCAATTTCCTCATCCATTCAATATGTATTTGTTGAGAACCTACTACGTGCTCAGTCCTGTGCTGGGTCCTGGGGACAGAGCCATGAACAAGACAAAGTTGATGGACTTCCCTGCTGGTGCAGTAGTTAAGAATCCACATGCCAGTGCAGGTGACACAGGTTCGAGCCCTGGGCCGGGAAGATCCCACATGACGCGGACCAACTAAGCCCATGTGCCACAACTACTGAGTCTGCACTCTAGAGTCCACGAGCCAAAACTACTGAAGCCCACGTGCCACAACTACTGAAGCCCGCACGCCTACAGCCCATGCTCCGCGACAAGAGAAGCCACCGCAATAAGCCCGCGCATCTCAACGAGGAGTGGCCCCCACACGCTGCAACTAGAGGAAGCCCACGCACAGCAATGAAGACCCAATGCAGCCAAAAATGAAATATTAATTAATTAGTTAATTAAAAAAAAAGACAAAGTTGCTGCCCTCATGAGCCTGCTGATGGAGGCCGACAGTCAAGGACTGATTAACTAGTTTAGCTATACAGAGTGATAAAAGGGAGGAGTCGTCCTGAGGGCTCTCTGAGGAGGTGAGGCTTGAGCTGGCTGTGTGAGGGTAAGATGTTGGCCATGTGAAGAAGGAGGTCGGATTCAGGCAGGGGGAACACAGGGGACATGGCTTGGCATAGCCTGGGGACAGAAAAGTGGCAGCACAGCAGAGCTTACTTGAGCACCTACTGTGGGGCCTGGGTGTGGAGGAGACCATTGCCGGGACCCCATGGGCACTCGAGCCGGCATGCTGTCCAGGCCTTGTGCCCAGGGAGGCAGGTAGCACAGAGAGGCCCCACTGACCCCACTCTTACCTGTCCCCTCGCAGGTGGCTCGCTTCCAACCTGGAGCTCGTGGGGAATGGGCTGGTGTTTGCGGCCGCCCTGTGCGCAGTCCTGAGCAAGGCCCACCTCAGCCCCGGCCTCGTGGGCTTCTCTGTCTCAGCCGCCCTGCAGGTACTTCCGACACCCCAATCTGGGCTCTGGGGTGCGGGCAGAATGGACACAGACCTCTGCCAGTGGGACCTTCAAGGACCTGAGTCCAAACTACCAACCAGTGAGGAAGACACGGCTCTGCAAGAGCCTAGGCTGGACCTTGGAGCCTCGCTGTGCTCCTCTGAAAAATGGGCAGTAATCCCTTCACTTCAGACACTATAAAGACTCATTGAGATAAAGTAGACAGAGTCCATTTCCAGTGCATTGTTAACGTTTTGTTAACTATTAATAACAATATTTAATGTCAGGTTATGACATCTGTAAAGGAAAAAATATATATATATACATATATGTAAATAGCATTCATTATGAATGAGACATTGTTCTAAGAGCTTTATAAATATTAGCTCATTTAATCCTGCCCACAAGCCCACCAGGGGTACTATTACTGTCCTCATTTTACAGTTGAGGCAACTAAGCTTAAGGCTAAAGCAAGTAACAGGAGGGAACATGATTGGGGGCAGGGTGCTTTTCTTTTGCATGGCCCAGAAGACCTCTCTGAGAAGGGGGCTTGAGATCTGTGGCCTAAAGGAAGTGGGGGAATAGGGCAGGAGCAGTCCTGGTGGAGGGAACAGCAGGAGGAAAGGCCCTGCGATGGCGGGAGGGGTGCGACTGGTGTGTTAGAGGAACAACAAGAAAGCGGTGTGGCTGGAGAGAGTGTGAGGACAAAACTGGAGGGAAATGAGGTTGGGAAGGGGTGGGGGCAGGGCGAGCAGACTCTGGGGAGGAGCTTGGTGTGGTACCAAGTGGGAAATCAGTGTTAAGTGGAGGGAAACCTCTCTGAATGGAAGTCTTTGGGCTGGATCCTGCTGGGTGTCCTTGAGAGGGCCACACACCTTCTCTGGTCCTGTCTCCCTACCTGTTTCAAGAAGGGTTGGATAAGCTGATGTCCGAGGGCTCCTTTCTGGTCCATATACTCCAGTTCAACTAAAGGAAAAGAGGGATCCTTGTGGCTACAGCCAAATTCTGCCCCCTCGTCTGCTCCGGGTCCCGCCTCCCAGCCCCTGCCTCACCTGTGGGGTGGCCTTGCTGAAGCTGTCCTGAGGTGTCTTCTCGAACCAGGTGACCCAGACGCTGCAGTGGGCTGTTCGCAGCTGGACAGACCTGGAGAGCAGCATCGTGTCGGTGGAACGATTGAAGGACTACGCCCAGACGCCCAAGGAGGTGATGGGCAAGAGATGGAGGGGGAGCGGGCACCATCCAGGACTTACAGCAGAGGACGATGGACCCATGTTGACATCTGCCACCGGCTTTAGAGCCCCCACCACTGCAGACTGCAGTCACAGCCAAGGTGGCAGGAATGGTTAAGAGGGTAGGGTCTGAGACGAGGTCAAATCCTGGTTCCTCTGAATGGCAAGGCAGGGCACTCTGAGTGACAGGGGACCAGGAGTAACAGCAACATGACAGTAACATAACAGCAGCTTGGTAGCAACATTATAGAAACATGACAGCAGCACAACAGTAACACGATAGCACTACTGAAACAGAATAGCAGGAACAGTAGAGAAACATAGCAGCAACGTAACGGTGCTGGGTGTACTAGGAGGTCATCCCACAATAAAGGACTTCATACAGTGTCTGGCACACTGCAAACACTCAATACATGTCCACACTCTAATTAGCCCCATTTCACAGATGGGGAAACCAAGGCTCAAGGGAGTGGAGTGACCTGTTCAAGGTCACAGGAATAGCAAATGGCAGCACTGGTCTCCCCACTGCACAGACTTGCCCTTTTCCCTAAAAGGAGAGTGTCTACCTCTACTAGCGAAAGAGAGAATATTTGAAAATTAATAATGGCTAATAACAAAAATAGATAAAGAGTAGCCAACATCATTATTTTTTTATTTTCACTATACCAAATATTATTTGTTTTTAGCCTTGCTGCATTCCATACCCCATAACAACCCTGTAAAGTAGCAGTAAATAAGCCCACTTTACAGAAGAGGAAACTGAGGGTCAGAGAGGCAGGCCCTTTTGTGAGAAGCCTGGAGAAAGGCTCCTCTGACCCAATGTCCCCTCCTGCCCTAGGCACCCTGGAGGCCGGCCACCTGTGCGGCCCGGCCCCCCTGGCCTCGTGGGGGGCAGATCGAGTTCCGGGACTTTGGGTTGAGATACCGACCCGAGCTCCCGCTGGCCGTGCGGGGAGTGTCCTTCAAGATCCACGCAGGAGAGAAGGTGAGCGGCTCACCTACAACTTCCTCCTCGTGGTGGCCAGGCCACAGGGCGGCTGGAGAGGCCTCAGGGCCGTGGCCAGGCTGGGCATCACCCAGAGTCCAGGTCCTGAGCACCGGCTGCCTGCTCCACGTCCGCACCTCAGGTCCCCCAGTCTTCAGACCCACCACGCCCTAAAGGGAACTTATCATCTTCCCCAAACCTGCTTCCATCTTGGTGAAACCCACCCACCTTGGTGTCCCAGATGAGGAGGCATCACCCCAACTTCTTTCTTCTTTCTCTATCATTAGTTGAGCACCTACTATGTGCTGGGTGAGGTGCTGAATGTTCCACATACTTATCCAGTTTGCATGGGCTCAGTTCCTTGCTTTGCCGTGCCTGACCTTGGACAAGTCACTGCATGCCTTGGTCTCAGTTTCCCATCTGTAAAGTGGGAATAATAATGTCAACCTCATAGAGTTGTTGAGAAGTTTACCTGGGTTAATACATAGAAACTGCCTGGAACAGTGCCTGGCACATAGCAAATGCTACAGAAGTGCTCACCAATGCTTTTATTCATTATTATTTGCATTTTCACTCTGACAACACACCTAATATCACCTCATTTACAGATGATTAGTCAGGCTGCTTCATTGAATCCTTCTCTGCCCTCCCCACCTGGTGACACTTCCTCCCTGCCCTCCCCTCCACTGCTCCAGGCCCTCAGCTTCCTGTTTCACCCCCTCCAATCTATTCTCCTGTGATCTTGATTTGAGCACGTCATTTCCCTGCTCCAGACCTTCCTCTCTCTCCCAGCTTCCTTCTGGTAAAGCCTAAACTCCTGAGCTTGGCATTCAAGGCCCTTTCTCCACTTCATTCATTGCCCTGCCAGGGCTTAGCCAACATTTGTGGAGCAGCAGCCTCTGGGCCAGGTGGGTACATGGTGCTGCCCTCGAGGAGCTTACAGGCTAGCAGTTGGTGTGGTTCACCCGGCATCTTCCCCCTCCCTGAACTCCTAGTCATCCTTCAAGATTCCACTCAAGTATCTTCTCCTCCATGAAGCCTTCTCTGATTACCCCATCAACCTCCATCCCAGGCAACATGAACAGCAGCACCTCCATGCTTACCTCCATTGCTGCAGGCCAGAGCCTGGTTATAGAGAGTGCTTGTTCATCACACTGTATTCAAGTTTACTCAGGTGCACTGTTTCCAAGACCAGATGGTGAGCCCTTTGGAGCAAGGACTCCTTAATTTCTGTATTCCTGGTGCCTAAAAGAGTGCCTGTCATACAGTGGGCGACACACATGCTTCGTTCACTTATTAAACAAAGAGTGTTGAACCCCCACCAAGTGTCAAGGAAGGATGGGGGATGGATAGAAAGATGGGCAGATAGATGGAAGGATGAAGGATGGATGGCTGGGATTGGGGGCTGGATGGAAAGAAGAAAGAGGCATGGATGGAAGGATGAATGGATGGATAGGATGGAGTGGAAGAAAGGATGAGAGATGGAAGGCAGGATAGGAATATGGATGGAAGGATGGTTTGTGGAAGGAAGGATGAAGGACAGAGGGAAGGATGAGGGTATGGATGAAAGGAAGGGGAAGGATGAAGGAATAGGAGGAAGGGTGGGGAAGTGGATGAAAAGATGGGAGAGGTGTATCAGGATGAGGGGAAGATAGAGAAGAATGCACAGACAGAAGGTTGGATGGATTGATGAATGGATATATGGACAGGTGGACAGATGGACAGATGGAAGGATGGATGCTCAAAGGATGATGGATAGATGGATGGGTCTTGGGTGCAGGGGAAACATCTAGCAAAGACATGCCCAGGAACCCTGTGGGCTATGGCCTGCCTTCTGGCCGGGCCTGGTCAGAATGGGCCTTACTCCCCCATCCCCCGGCAGGTGGGCATCGTCGGCAGGACAGGGGCAGGAAAGTCCTCCCTGGCTGGGGGCCTGCTGCGGCTCCTAGAGGCGGCTGAGGGCGGGATCTGGATCGACGGGGTCCCCATCGCCCAAGTGGGGCTGCACACACTTCGGTCCAGGATCACCATCATCCCCCAGGTGAGGCCTGGGGAGGGGTGGGCAGAGGTGGGGGGAGGGGGATAGGTGGGAGGCATGGCTGGCCCAGCTCTGACCCACTGTCCCTTCCGGCCAGGACCCCATCCTGTTCCCCGGCTCTCTGCGAATGAACCTCGACATGCTACACGAGCACTCAGACGAAGCCATCTGGGCGGCCCTGGAGACGGTGCAGCTCAGAGCCGCGGTGGCCAGCCTGCCCGGCCAGCTGCACTATGAGTGTGCCGACCAAGGCGACAACCTGAGGTAGGGTCGCCGCACCCCAGCCAAACCCTGTGAGATGCTGGGGGAGAGGCAGGTGTGGCCAAGGTCCCCCCCAGGGTAATATGCCCTGGAAGTCACCTCCCCACATAGGATGATCAACCCCATTCTATTCCTAATCACAGTACAAATTCCATCCCTCATCAGCCGTTCCAAACTCCAACACAATCTCTGAATATCAAGAGATATTTTTTCTTTTTCCTAAATTTGTTTCTAAGTTTATTTGGTGGCAAAACTCAACCTCTACTGACACGAGGCTACTTCTGGTCTGTATTTATCTCACTCAGCATTTATTTTGCTGCAAAGATACTGTGTTTGATATTGGGTGCTAACCCCACGCTCACTGGGGTCGTCAAGTAACATAGGGTGTACGCCTTTAAAAGCTTTAAGAAATCGTAGTAAAATACACATAGCATCTTAACCATTTTTTAGTGTCCAATTCCATAGTGTTCAGTACATTCACATCATTGTGCAATAAACCTCCAGAACTTTTTCATTTTGTGAAACCGAAATTCTGTAGCCATTAAACAACAATTCTTTATTCTTCCCTCCCACCAGCCCCCATTTCACTTTGTTTCTCTAGGTACTTCATTTAGGTGGAATATTATAGTATTTGTCTTTTTGTGACTGGCTTATCTCACACAGCATAATGTCCTCCGTGTTCATCCATGATGTAACATGTGCCAGAATTTCCTCCAGTTTTAAGGCTGAATAATATTCCATTGTATGGATAGACCACATTTTTCTTATCCGTTCATCCATTGATGGACGCTTGGGTTGTTTCTACCTTTTGGCTATTGTGAATAGTGCTGCTGTGAACACAGATGTACAGGTGTGTGCCTTTTTAAAAGTCAAGACATTCTGGATTCTAAAACCCACCTGACCCAGAAGATGTTAGGGTGAGGGACCGTGGGTGGTAATGGCACTAGAAGGGCAGCAGGGCTTGGTAGCCAGGAGCATAGACATAGTTGTAGGATCTTGGGCAGGTTGCTTAATCTTCAGTGCCTCAGTTTCCTTATCTGTAAAATGGGAATAATAGTTAGAACCTGCCTATCTGTGCAAGGATTAAATGAGTGCTATGTGTAAAGTTGTTGCAACAGTGCCTGGCATGTAAGAAATATTCATTTCAATATTCATTTTAATCCTCAAAGCTGCACTTTCACTAATCCCATTTCACAGAATTGGAATCTGAGGCTTGAGAGTTGCCAACTCACCTACCCCATAAGTGGTGAGTCTGGAGCAAAGCCCAGGCACCTGACACCCACATGGCCGTAGTAGGTCCTGGTTCCCTAAAGGGTTTACTCTGAGGAAGCTGAACATGGCAGGAAACAGCCCCAAACACCCTTGAGTCTCCAGGCTCTGGGGGCTCACTGACTGTGTGACCTTGACTCTCAACTTTCTCATCTGTAACTGGAGTAAAAGAAGGGTTTACTCTGTGACATGCATGGCTTTTATATGATTTGTCTTATACTCACAACCCAGTGTGGAAGGACTCATTGACACAATACCTACCTTTGTGGTCTTTATGAGTTAATATACATAAGCATATAGGATGTGTCTGGCACATAGTGAAGACCACAGAATAGAAACAGAGATAGCCATTGCACAGATGGGGAAACTGAGGCCCAGAGGGTTTCAATGACTTGCCTAATGTCACTCTGCTCAAAAATGGCAGGATGGGGATTCCTACCAGCTCTGTAGACTAGGGACCCACGTCTGGGGACACACAGGCACACATCCCCCACTCCCGCAGCTGCCATGAGGACACATTTGTGGGCACCCCCTGCAGGTCAGTCCTGATGTGCAAACATCTGGCCTGTCCCACTCATTCCCAGCCTAGGCCAGAAGCAGCTCCTGTGTCTGGCACGTGCCCTTCTCCGGAAAACCCAGATCCTCATCCTGGATGAGGCCACGGCTGCTGTGGACCCGGGGACAGAGCGCCAGATGCAGGCCGCCCTGGGGAGCTGGTTTGCGCAGTGCACGGTACTACTCATCGCCCACCGCCTGCGCTCCGTGCTGGACTGTGCCAGGTAGGCCCCCACACCCCACCCCTCCCAGCTGGCCCCCAGGGCACCCCTGCAGGCAGAGGAAGGCATCAGGGTTTAGAGCTGGAAGGGCACTGGAATAGATTATGAAGTGCCCGCTGTACAGGTGGCAAGACTGATGCCCACAGGGGAAGGATAAGCCCGAAGACACATGCCCAGCAGATGCTTCCAACTGGGCTGTCGGGGTCAGTAGGCCGCGTGGAAGGCCAGACTTGCTTAGAGCAGACACACTGGGCATTCAGAGCGGCCAAGGCCCTGGGCTGGGGTCCAAAGAGCTGGCTGTGTCCCTCTCCCTTGCAGGGTGCTGGTCATGGACGAGGGACAGGTGGCAGAGAGCGGCAGCCCAGCACAGCTGCTGGCCCAGAGGGGCCTGTTTTACAGGCTGGCGCAGGAGTCAGGCCTGGTCTGAGCCCAGCCGCTGGATCCTCCTCCCACCCCACCAACCCGGAGAGTCTGCCAGGCCCTGGAGACACAGTGACCCGGGGTCATCAGTGGCCCCATGGAATTGAGTCTAGACCCCTCTCTGCTCTCTGGGAGGAGAAAATGCCCGATCACCCCAGACCCAAGAGGACACAGCAACCCACAGGTCGGCCTGATCAGGGCTCATCCAACCCCATCTACCCTGGAGCCAAAGTCGACAGCAGCTCTCTGCCCTGGCTGCCCAATGTGTACCTTTTACAGAGTAACCTTTTATTTTGAGATGATTGTAGATTGACAAGCAGTAAAAAATAATCCAGAAAACTACTTGTGTACCCTCTACTACTTTTCCCCAATAAGAACATCGTTTTTATTTTTGAAGTATAGTTGATTGACAATGTGATAATTACTGCTGTACAGCAAAGTGATTCAGTCATACATATATATATATATACATTCTTTTTAAAAATATTCTTTTCCACTATGGTTTATCATACGATATGGAATATAGTTCCCTGTGCTCTACAGCAGGACCTTGTTGTTTATCCATTCCATATATAAAAGCTTACATCTGCTCACCCCAACCTCCCGCTCCATCCCTCCCCCTTGGCAGAGTCTGTTCTCTATGTCCATGATGCTGTTTCATAGATGGGTTCATGTGTGTCATACTTTAGATTCCACATATAAGTGATACCATATGGTATCTTTCTCTTCTGACTTACTTCACTTAGGATGATAATCTCTAGTTGCATCCATGTTGACGCAAATGGCATTATTTCATTCTTTGTTATGGCTGAGTAATATTCCATTGTATATATGTACCACATCTTTTTTTATCCATTTATCTGTCGATGGACATTTAGGTTGTTTCCATGTCTTGGCTATTGTGAATAGTGCTGCTATGAACATAGGGGTACATGTATCTTTTTGAATTATAGTTTTGTCCAGATATATACTCAGGAGTGGGACTGCTGGATCATATGGTAATTTTATTTTTAGTTTTCTGAGGAACCTCCATACTGTTTCCACAGCGGCTGCACCAACTTACATTCCCACCAACAGTGTAGGAAGGTTCCCTTTTCTCCACATCCTCTCCAGCATTTGTTATTTGTAGACTTTTTAATGATGGCCATTCTGACTGGTGTGAGGTGGTACCGCATTTTGATTTCCATTTCTCTAATATTTAGCAATGTTGAGCATCTTTTCATGTGCCTATTGGCCATTTGTATTACTTCTCTGGAGAAATGTCTATTTAGGTCTTCTGCCCATATTTGGATTGGGTTGTTTTGGGGTTTTTTGTTGTTGAGTTGAATGAGCTGTTTGTTTATTTTGGAAATTAAGCCCTTGTTGGCTGCAGCATTTGCAAATGTTTTCTTCATTCTGTAGGTTGTCTTCTCCTTTTGCTTATGGTTTCCTTTGCTGTGCAAAAGCTTGTAAATTGATTAGGTCCCATTTGTTCATTTTTGTTTTCATTTTTATTGCCTTGGGAGACTGACCTAAGAAGACATAGGTACGATTTATGTCAGAGAATGTTTCGCCTATGTTCTCTTCTATAAGTTTTATGGTGTCATGTCTTAACGTTTAAGTCTTTAAGCCATTTTATTTTTGTACATGGTGAGAGGATGTGTTCTAACTTCATTGACTTACATGCAACTATCCAACTTTCCCAATACCACTTGCTGAAGACACTCTTTTTCCCATTGTATACTCTTACCTCCTTTGTTGAAGATTAATTGGCTGTAGGTGTGTGGGTTTATTTCTGGGCTCTCTATTCTGTTCCATTGATCCATATGCCTGTTTTTGTGCCAGTACCATATTGATTACTGTAGCCTTGTAGTATTGTCTGATGTCTGGGACAATTATGCCTTCTGCTTTTTTCTTTTTCTTCAGGGTTGCCTTGGCAATTCTGGGTCTTTTATGGTTTCATATGAATTTGAGGATTACTTTTTTCTAGTTCTGTGAAAAATGTCATGGGTAATTTGATAGGGATCGCATTAAATCTACAGATTGCTTTGGGTGGTATGGCCATTTGAACAATATTAATTCTTCCAATCCAAGAGCATGGGATATCTTTCCATTTCTTTGAATCATCTTTAATTTCCTTTAATGTTTTATAGTTCTCGGCATATAAGTCTTTCACCTCCTTGGTGAGGTTTATTTCTAAGTATTTTATTTTTGGGGTTGTGATTTTAAAAGTTTTTTTTTTTTAACATTCCCTTTCTAATATTTCATTTTGGTGTAAAGAAATGCAACTGATTTCTGTATGTGAATCTTGTATCCTACTACCTTGCTGAATTTATCAACTCTAGCAGTTTTGTGTGCAGTCTTTAGGGTTTTCTATATACCATATCATCTGCATATAATGAGTTTTACCTCCTCCCTTCCAATGTAGGTACCTTTTAATTTCTTTTTCTTGTCTGATTGCTGTGGATAGGACTTCCAATACTATGTTGAAGAGGTGAGAGTGGGCATCCTTGTCTTGTTCCAGATTTTAGCAGGAAGGCTTTCAGCTTTTCATCATTGAGTATTATATTGGCTGTGGGTTTGTCATAAATGGCTTTTATTATCTTGAGACATGTTCCCTCTATATGCACTTTGGTAAGAGTTTTTCTCATGAATGGATGTTGAATTTTGTCAAATGCTTTTTCTGCATCTATTGAGATGACCATGTGGTTTTGCCTTTTCTTTTGTTTACATGGCCTATCACATTGATTTACATATGTTGAACCGTCCTTGTGAACTTGGGTGAATCCCACTTTGTCGAATCCCACTTTGTCGAATCCCACTTGGTTGTGATGTATGATCTTTTTTATGTGTTGCTGGATTTGGTTTGCTAATGTTTTGTTGAGAATTTTTGCATCTATATGCATCAAAGATATTGGCCTGTAATTTTCCTTTTTGGTGGTCTTTTTGTCTGGTTTTGGTATCAGGGTGATGGTGGCTTCATTGAATATCTTTGGGAGTGTTCCCTCCTCTTCAAATTTTTGCAAGAGTTTGAGAAGGATGGGTGTGAGTCTTCTTTGTATGTTTGGTAGAATTCACCTGAGAAACCAACAGTAACATCTTAAAAGGCGACAGCTCAATATCACAATCAGGAAATTGACATTGGTACAATCCACCGATCCTGTTCAGATTCCCCAGTTTTACTTGTACTCACTGGGTGTGTGTGTGTTTACTTCTATGTAATTGCATCATACGTACAGGTTCCTGCATCCACCACCACAGTCGGGATGCTGACTGCTTCCGTCTCCATGTGGACCCCTCAAATTGCCATTTTGTAACCACACCCACCTCCCCCTGCCCTCACAACCACTGGTGTGGTCTCCAGCCCAAATGATTCCAACGTGCAGCCAGGACTGAGAACTGCTACTTCACCCTCATGCATGAGCTCCAGGGAGCATCATGTCTGAACAGATGCACAAGCCACAGCCCACACCAGGGAAGGGCCTCTCCGGGCACAAGCCCTCGCCCAGCACACAGTTCAATTCCAAAAGGGAGATGAGAAGAGCCAGGTCTCCTGGGCCCTACCGGGAGAATTTGCTCAGGATTTGGTGCATTTCATCCATTTGTTTATTCAGGACTAAATCTGCCCCAGCAGCTGTTGGAACACCTCGGGCGTTTCTGGTCACACTTCCACCTGCCAGGCACCGTGGGGGAGACGCTGTTGGAAGGCCGAGGTCAGGGGTGGGTCAAGGTCCAGCGCTTGCTTCAATGAAGGGCAGTACACAGTGCACAAGGCTCGGGCCGTTTGTGACAGCGATCAGCATTCTAATAAAAATGGCTTCAGGCACCAGGAAAGAGGTGAGAGCCTGAAGTAGCCAAGCCCGAGGTCACAGGGACACAGCTGAAAAGCACAGCATGAGAAATGAGACAAATCCCCGGATCATAACTATGGCTGCCCAGGGGTCTGCACTGATGCCCGGCACTGCAGCTGGGAGACAGCAAGTTAATACTCAGAGAGGGTCGGAGCCGAGCAGGGTACAAAGTAAGTGCTCAATAACCGTTCGCTATTGTTCTTGATACTGTTGTGTTTACGGGCCTCTGAGGGGCAGCAGAGGAGGGTAGATACAACAGGATTTCTTTTTAACCTCTTCACTATTGATAGGCGGGGCGGGTAATTCCATGTGGAGGCATCCTGCGCACTGTCAGATGTTCAGCAGCGTCCCTGGCCTCCACCCACTTGAAGCCAGGAGCACCTTCTCCTCTAGTTGTGACAAAAATGTCTCCAGACACTGCCAGTTGAGTCATGGGTCTCCGCCATCAACAATGCACTGATACCTGGGCAACGGCTGTGTTGGTGTGTCAGGAGAGGCCCGTGGACACACACCTACTTGCCCGGACACAGGGCCTGCCCTGTCCCAGACAGCTCATGGGGACATTTTTTTTTTTTTTTTCTATATTCCTTTGAATAGTTTAAGGCTTGAGTTGTCATCTTTGTTCTGTATACACTTTTTCATTGTGCCTATTGACCTCCTAACCTCATGGGGACTTTCTGATTGTCCATCCTGACTTAGGGTTTTCGGCCCAGAGGAATCTAAATCCAGGTCCAGTCATGGCTGCCTCCCCTTTTCAAGATGTGACCATAGTTCATTTTGATACCTTCAAAATGGGGTAGGGGCCTGCATCCCTTGCCCACCCCCTGTCATGCCAACAAAATGCCATCATTACTAGTGATTTTGCTCCATCTTGCAGATGAGAAAACTGAGGCTCGGTGAGCGGACGTGACCTGGCAAGGCCACCTGGCTAGTAAGTGGCAGAGCGGGGATCTCCCCTTGGGCCTAACACCAAAGTCCAAGTCATCTTGTGTGGGTGTCTGTCCTACTGCGAGGTGCGGGAAGAGGCCAGACACAGCACTTCTTATGTCTCCTCCTGGAGCCGAGTCAGCTGATGCCCTGGCAGAGCGACTGCAGGCAAAGGTGGCAGCTGTGTGCTTGGCATGGTCACGTGGTGTTGTTCCAGGGCCACAAGAGCCTCCTTCATGGAGGGAGGTGTTTTGCCAGGAAGCAGAGTGTGGGCCGTGGAACCAGCGCCCGCAAGAGCCCACTAACAAGGCTGATGTTGGGCCCACCCCATGGCTCCTTGGACATCAGCCCGCGGGCCACCCGGGCCATTAATCCTCTGGCTGTGGCTCCTGCCAGCAGCGCCTGGCTGGCGAGTGAGCACAGCTAAGAGGCAGGAAAGCTGTGTACAGACCTTCCTTGGTCAGTGCCTCTCTCGGTAAGTCCTTAAACCTCACCCGAGTCCCACTGGTCACAGCAAACACAAAGCCCTGCTCTAAATGCCTGTCACCCAGTTAATCCTCACAATCGGAGGGTGACTAGCTTCCAGTAGTCACCCCACACCTTACTAGGATGCTGTGCTGAGGAAGGTACTATCATTAGGCCCCTTTTACAGGTGACAAAACTGAGACAGAGTGTAAGCAAGTAGGGATCTGAACCCAGGAAGGCTGGTGCCAGAGCCGCCCACGTCCTAACCACTGTACCACACTCCCTCTCGCACATTCCTTTAGCTCTAGCACATCGCTCATGGATAAGAGCTGAATTCCACTCTAGAATCCCACCAGAAGGGAAGGAAAGGGCTCCTTTCCTTCTTGAACTGAGACGAGAGATCTGTGCATTTGTATTGGCTGTGCTTTCCCTCGCACCCAGCGTGGTACACAGCACGTAGGAGGGGTCAATAGATACTGACTGTATGACTGGATGGATGGAGGGAATGAATAGGTGGATGGATGAACAGACAAATGAATGCATGGACGGCATCACCACGTATGAAGGCATCCTAAGGGCAAGGCATGGCTGTCTTCATCCTCACAGCCACCTGGCCAGATGGCTACAAAGATCCCAGTTGTACCAGCAAGGAAGCTGCAACTCCGGAAGGGCAAGTTCTAGGGCCCGAGTGACTTCACTCTGGGTTCCGGCCCGGCACAGGGACAGCACAGTCCCAGGTTGGAGAATGCAGTCACTAAGCACGTGCCACATGCCCTGCTCTAGAGATGAGCCTTCAGCAAGAAATAAAGAGATTACAGCCTTGCTTGCACAGAGCTGCCCCTGTCAAATAGGGAAAGGAGCAGGTGATGCAGACGTCTGGGAAGAGAGAGAGGACCCTGAGGTTGGAAGAAGAGCAGCGAGGTGAGCAGGCAAGCGTTGCTGGGGATGCTCTCTGGCCCGGGGCTCCTTTCCCACAAGGAGAGCTGTGCAAAGCGCTGAGCCCCGGGCCTGGCACGCAGCAGGTGCACAACAAAGCTTGCTTCTCCCCTTCTTCCACGGCGCTGGGGCACTCACCTGGAAGAGCAGGTGTGCAGGCCCCCTCCCACCCCCCTCCACACCCTGGCTCACTCTCTTCAGGGTTAATGCTGCACCCGCCCCTCTTCCTGACGTGGAAGGCACACGCCGATCGCACACTCATTTAGCATCTGACCCAGGATTTTAATACTCAGGGCCAGGCCCTGAGACAGAAACACAGCCACATCTAAAGTCGACTCCCCACAAGGCACATCCAAGTGCTTCTCAGATAAGGGTGACAACCTCACAGCTGCTTTTCGTTGAGCACCTTCACCTCCCAGCTCCTCAGACAAGGCAGCCTGGAGGCGGGGGGCGGGTAGGGGACACGCAGCCAGCGCTGGCCGCTCCACCTGCATGTGTCCTTGGAGCATGGTCCTGGGGTGTGTGCTCCCCAAATCCTGGCATTCCTCACTGTCCAGACTCACCAATACGAACTCAGATCCCAACACCCCGGTCTTCCTCCCCCACTATCCAAAACTGAGAAATGACATCAGTTACCACAGGAAGGGGCTTCCTTCCTTATGTGTCCCTGCATTTCCTGCCTCCTTTGTGGCCTGGTGGGGCCATGTGACTAATTCTGGCCAACAGGCTGTGAGTGGAACTGACTTGTGTCACTTCTGGTTTGAGATACGTAACAGTGGGTGTGAGTCGTCCACAACTTCCCTTCCCCAGCTGTGGTGACCCAGAAGCCAGCCCCCGAGAGGCGATGTCATAAAACCAGAACAGTCTGGATCTGTCAGTCATCGTACCAAAGGAGAGGCGCCTGATTCTCATAAAGAAATATATGAGAAATACACCCTTGTATTCATGTCCCAAGAGTTTATGGCCAATTTGTTACTGCAGCATAGCCTAGCCTGGCCTAACACCACAAAGGGATTTCCAAGGCTAATTCTTGCCATGTGTGATGTTTGCCTCGCCTGTGTCTTAGAACCCAACCTGGGCCATGCACGTAACACACACATCAGTGCTCATCTTCACAACAAGCCCAGGAGGCAGGGATCAGCCCCAATTTACCGACGAAGCAACTGAGGCACGAAGACTAAGTGACCTGCCTAGGGTCACACAGCCTGCAGATGACAAGGGCAGGACCCTGTCCACTGTGCTACGCCGATTCCCCACCAAACCCCACCTGATTCTTAATCTCTAGGTTCCCAATTCCAAGAGCTCCCGCTAGAAACAACATGCTCGCCAAGGAGAAAGAACAGCAGCAGATGAGAGGGTGCCCCATCCCGACTCCTGGAGAGACGGCAGGAACCTTCGCTAGAAAGAAAATGGAACAGTCGTTTAGAAAGAAATAAAATATTTTTTTTAACTGCAAATTATTTGCAAATGTTCACGTTTCCAGTGTAAGTCATTACAAAAAGATCCCCAAGAAACACTTGGTTTATCTAATGTGAAATAATGGTTTAACTTACAAAAAATAAATATGTATTTCCACCCAAAAGAAGAAAGATGCTTCTCTGGCTTGAAGTCAGCAACGTAATTCACATAGCGAGCATGAATCCTGGGGCAGCCGTGACCTCTCTTTGCTTTTTGGGTCTCACTTTGGTCTCCAATCAAGGGACCTACAGGGCTTTGAAGAAAGGACCCCACTTGCCCGTTTCCTTCCAGGAACACAGGGACCAACCACCAGATGCTGAGCCAACCTGGCCTTTCCCTGGGATGCTGCTCCTCGGCCCAGTACTTCCTCCCAAGAAATTAAAGTCTTGAGACTGTTTTTCTCCCTAGAGCAGTACTTAAAAAAAAAAAAAAGAAAAAGAAAATCACTGACACTCATGAATGGGTTCTTTTCTTGTCCCAGAAGAGACTCAGTAACCGTAAGTCAAGTTCTCCACCCCGCCGCCCCTGACAGCCAACCAGAGGCCCCGGGTGAGAAACTGAACTCTAAGAACAAGGAGGAGACTCAACGGGGCTCTTTTCAGTACCAACTGCTCACACCTGGAGGCACCAGCGCTCTTGGCTTTGAATGCTGAATAACCATGACCAGGTCTTCTCTTTCGGGCACCTGAAGGCGTAAACCCATTCTAGCTACAGGTAGAAAGAGGGAGGAAGGAAGGCAAGGCAAAGACGGGAGCGGGTGACGAGGTGAGCAGTCAAGCGGGGAAGTCGGCGTTGAGAGAGCTCTCCCGGCCTGGAGCTCCAGGGCCAGGTCACCCGGAGGCCAGCCCAGTCCCGTCAACGAGAAGCACTGGGAGACATGCGGCCTCTGGTCCATGAAGCAAGTCCCGGTGGAGGCAGCGCTGTGACACTGGTTCCCATGTCTGAGCACCCAGAAGACCAGATGGCTGGTGAGAAGCGCGTCCATGCCCCTCAGGACACTGCCTGAGAGTGAAAATGACCTTCACCAGGCCCCTCACCTCCAAACTGCAGCCTTGGGGAAACAAGCATCTGGGTAGAGCCAGGCAAGGACAGAGAGGTGCCGGGGACCAGGGAGCTTCTCGAAAGCTTGGAACCTGCAGACTTCGGCTGGAGAGATCTGAGGCAGTTGGCTGGATTTGGTCACTAGCATGTTTTATGCAACCGATTTCTCTGGAAGTCTGGTGGCCCAAACCTCCCCACAGAGCACAGAGAGCACATGTGCCCTCCCAGGGGTGTGAGAACATGTGTGCGTCTGTGGGGGTAACAGAGGCAAGGATGTGCGTGTTTTGGGGGCACTGCATCCCTGTGTCTCTCCTGTTTCTTCACAGCCAATTCCAGGCAGGGGGCCAGAGGGTGGCTGCTTTCTGTGTGTTTTGGTTTTGGGTTGTTCTTTTTTTTTTTTTTTGGTTTCAGTCTACGCGAGGCTTGGGTTCCCAAGGATGCCGACTGATCCCTGGCTGCTGGCATGTCGGCCCTGCAGTTCTGAGCAGCTGCACCAGCTCTGGGCTCACACCAAGCCAGCGTCTTTGGCCATGCTGTAGAAGAGACCTCTCTGTTGCAGGAGGCCGGAGGGAGGACCACACTCGCGGATCTCCCCTTTGTCCAGGACAATCACCCTGCAAGGAGGGGACGCAGACATGAGGGGTGGGGAAGGGGTTGGCACCTCGTGCCCCAAGAGCCCACCTGGGCAAGTCCCTGCTTTGGGTCAGGCCCCTAACACCCTATGCCAGGACTGTTACAGTAGCCTTCCACCTGGCTGCCCATCCTCAACCCCAGTTCTAGTCAATGTCAATGTCCTGTGATGCTACCTCCAGTACTCTCTATCACCTTTTATATTTCCTTCCCAGCACAATTCCCTTTTATTTGTTGCTGTGTTTATTGTCTGTCTCTGCACCCAGCCCCCAACTAATCTGTAAGGTCTCTTAGGCAGGCTCCCTGTCTGACAGATCCCTGCTCAGTCCCCAGTGCCTGGAACGGAGCCAGGAATGTGGCAGGCACTCCACACATGTGTTGACTGAATAAATGATTGGGTGATGTCAAAAAATGCCTGGTACTAACCAGGACAAAGAGACGTTCCACCAGCTCAGGCTGTCACTAGGCATAACGACAGTGTTGAATGAATGAATGAATGAATGAACAGGTGACTGGGGTGGACCGCAAGGTCCAGAGGCCTTCTGTGCCAGGGCATCACCTCGTGTAGTCCATGATGGTGTTGAGCCGGTGAGCAATGGTGAGGACGGTACAGTCGTCAAACTGCGTCCGGATGGTGGACTGAATGAGGTCATCCGTTTCCAGGTCCACAGCCGCCGTGGCCTCATCCAACACAAGGATCTTCGTCTTCCTCAGCAGGGCCCGGGCCAGGCAGACAAGCTGGCGCTGCCCGACGCTTGACCGGGAGAGAAGGACCAGGAAACAGTGTCAAAACCACCCTGACCCTGAGCCTAGGCCTGAATTGAGAGAAGGGAGAAGAGACACTGGGTGCTGCTTAGACCAGGAGAGCACTTCCACTCCCCACATCTGTGCCCATGGCAGACATCACTAATCAATCAGAATGGTCTTCCCGTTGAGCTAGAAGCAGGCTCAGAATCATTCTCAACACAGGGCTCAGAGGTGATATCCAAAATAACAGGTAGCAAAAATGATCCCATATCCATGCCTTCTGTGGGGCCCCTCACTGCGGACTTTGGACTCAGTCACGTGCCTGGCTTTGGCCAATGGGATGCTGGCAAACATAAGGCCGGTAGAGGCTTGAAATAGGAATGCACACCAGGCTTTGCTCACTCTTGCACCTCTGCCATCACCATGACAATATGCCTGGGCTGGTCTGCTGGAGGATGAGGGACACACAGGGCAGAATCTAACTGCCCCCAGTGGAGGCCGAATAGATCTGCCTACAGCCAGCGGCCACCACCCACGTGCGTGAGCCAAGACTAGCAGAGCTGCCTGGCTGACCGCCCCAGTGTGTGAGCGGTCACAGCTCTTGTTGAACACACCTGAGGTTTGGTGCTTGGTTGTCATGGTGATGGATAAGTGAACGAGACACAGGATCCCTGCTGCGCCAGGCATTAACACTTCAGTTGCTGGATCATGGGTGGATCCTGGGGAGCCTGGGAGACGGACCACGGCAGCTGGGGCAGTGGGTGGGGACAGGGAGGGCTCAGAGCAGTGCTATTTACTGACTGGAAGAGAACCTTTCCAAAGTTTAACGACTGATAGCCACTCTCCATTGAATGGACCTGGTGTAAGCAAGGAAGCGTTTTGGCCATCCTGGTTACACCTCATGGTAAAATGACCCTAGATTGAAACCCATTTTAGATACTGAAACTGAGGCCCCAAGAGGTAAGAGACAAACAGCTCACGTGGCAGAGCTGGGACTCAAACCCAGGTCTGAACCAGATGGAAATGGACAAAACCTACAAACGCCCTGACGGAGGGAGAGCTGAAGCCGAGGAGACCCGGTTGGGGCCTCACCCCCGCCTACCTGAGGTTCTCCCCGCCTTCTGCGCACTCGTGGTTCAGCTTATGGGGAAGGGCCGACACGAAGCCCTTCAGGTGGGCCAGCTCCAGAGACGTCCAGACCTCTTCATCTGAATACTGGCTGAATGGGTCCAGGTTCATGCGGAGGGAACCCGAAAACAAAACGGGGTCCTGTTCGAAGGGAAGATGGCAGATGACGTGTGAGGCTCACGTCACGGTGGACACGGGTGGGGCAAAGAGGTGCAATGTAGAAAGTTCTTGCCAGAATTGTTCAAAATGGGGTTTCACAGTCCCTTGGAATCACCACTTCCGAAGATGTCAATAATGGGGGAAAAAAGCCTGGAAAACTCTGGATTAAGTGAAATAAAATAGATTTCTTTCTTGCAAGATTTCCCAGAGCATTCAATATGCAAATGTGTTGGGAACTTTCGGGAAGGGAGATGCAGCATGGGCAATTCCTAATTGCAAGGTACCTGGATTCCTCCCCATCCCACCTCCAAATAAGAACCTTAGGAGAAATATAAGGCAAAACAACACTAAAAGGCAACGTATTAAGGAATCACCACCTACTGGCATCAGTCTAGAAAATTCATCATTCTCGCCTAGCTCTTGGGAGGGTCAGAGATCCCTGTGCTGACCGACAGCTGGCAGAGAAGCCGGTATCTTAACTGTATCCTGTGAGATGCTCAGGAAGCTGCCTACTGGGTGGCAGGAGTGAAGGAATGAATGAAACCTGCTTAAGGCTCACTGTTATTTATGTGCTAAGAGGAGATTCCGTGAAGAAACACAGCATAATTTCAGTAAAAAAAAAAAAAAAAAAATCATGAAAGTAGGAATAAAGGTAGGTTTGTCCTGAAAATACACACATGTCGCTTTCAGCGTGACCCAGCCCAGCCCATCGGCCCCACCTGGGGGATGATGGTGATCTTGAAGCGGAGGTCGTGCAGGCCAATCTTGGCAATGTTGACATCGTCAATGATGATCTCTCCCTCGGCAGACTCGTTGATACGAAACAAGCCCAGGGTCAGGGATGACTTCCCAGCTCCTGTCCGCCCCACGATGCCGACCTGTGGGACAGGAAGGGCCCAGCGTGAGGTTGGAATGCTGCTATCTGGGGTTACCTCCTGCCCCATGGTGCCCTCATTTTAAGTACCAGCCCCAGAGCAATTCAGTCATCTGGTCAACCCACCTCTCACCGTAGCCCCCACCCTCAGCAGCTTCCCAGAGACATTCCTTTAGGGGCTGTTTTGGCCAAAGGTCAAGAAGGACTCCCTTCTCTTTGCCAGCTCTTTTTAGAAATTAAAATTAGGTTTTTTTAACATCTTTATTGGAGTATAATTGCTTTACAGTAGTGTGTTAGTTTCTGCTTTATAACAAAGTGAATCAGTTATACATATACATATGTTCCCATACCTCTTCCCTCTTGCATCTCCCTCCCTCCCACCCTCCCTATCCCACCCCTCTAGGTGGTCACAAAGCACCAAGTTGATCTCCCTGTGCTATGCGGCTGCTTCCCATGAGCTATCTATTTTACGTTTGGTAGTGTATGTAAGTCCATGCCACTCTCTCACTTTGTCACAGCTTACCCTTCCCCCTCCCCATATCCTCAAGTCCATTCTCTAGTAGGTCTGTGTCTTTATTCCTGTCTTACCCCTAGGTTCTTCATAACATTTTTTTTCTTAAATTCCATACATAGGTGTTAGCATATGGTATTTGTCTTTCTCTTTCTGACTTACTTCACTCTGTATGACAGACTCTAGGTCCATCCACCTCATTACAAATAGCTAATCAGCTGTTTTTTATAAATTAGTTATTTTCAACTCAAGATAATATTAAGTAACAATCAGATTGTTCTGGTGAAATATCTGAGCTGTTGAAATATCTCCAAGGTTCAAGCAGATCCCCCTGCATCCCAGCTGAGGAAGCAGAAAGAGGTTAGGGATACAACCTGGCCTCTACTTATCCTCTCTTGAGGGAACTGGGCTCCCCATTTAATGGCCAATGATTGATGTTCCAGTTAGAACTCTCCCTTCTCATCTGGGCTCCAAAGAGGCCAGCTCCTCCACCCTCTGACAGCAACTCACAGAGCAGAGTCTCATGATGTAACATAAGCCATAAAGCGTCAGTGAGAACACCGCCCACTCTGTTCCTCCCCTTGTTATAAGTTGGAGAAATTCTCTCATGGGAACGGTACATTCTGAGCCTTGGGGTAGGAAGTTTAACAAATTCGTATGTTCAGAGATGAAAGACTGTCTTCTGGCAAACGGCCAGGAGGACCCTGCGTCTCAGAGCAAGGATGTCTTCCAGGAACAGCAATACGTTCCAAAATTCTGTCCATTTCACATGTCCCTTGAGCCATCCCTAGTAGTGACGATGACGTCTTTCTGTTCTAGAGACTGCCAACTCAAATGCCTAAGGGGCTGAGTGGGCACATGAATGGAGCAGGAAGGGACTAGTCGGTGAACTGGGAGGCTCGTGTCTTGTCTAGAAAGAGTCAGGCAAGGAGGATGGGCCCAGTGTTGCCACGTGTTCTGATCTTTCAAGAAAAGCAGGAAATGGATTTTTATATAAAACATTCCAGATTTTTCAACATTTGCAATTTAGATTTCTTTCAAAACGTATCTGTGGGCTTCCTTTGGCCCTCGGGCTACCAGTCTGCAACCCTGCTGGGACACTCTGAGCAGCTTTTACTTCCATAAGCCCCTCCCCGAAAGGCCACTCCACCCTGTGGTTTGGGACAGGGACAGACTGGGAAAATGAGGAAGCTCATTTCATCTGCCTGGTGGCAAGCTATGCCCGACCGTGAACTGGTGGGGGTCAAAGTGCGCCCACCTTCTCCCCTCCATCGATGGTGACGTTGATGTGCTTGAGAACCAGGTCCAGGTCCTCTCGGTAACGCAGGCCGTAGTCTCGGAACTCCACTCGGCCCACCTGGGGCCAGTTGCTGGGGGGTGCCATCTCCTGGATTCGCCAGGGAGCCTGCAATCACAGTGGGTGGTGGGGTGGGGTTCAGGAGTCTGAAGTCCACCTCATGTGCCCTAAGGCTCTGTGTGAGTGGCCTCCATGACCCCTCTGACCACATGGCTCTCTCTCTCACTCACTACGCTCCCCACACTGAATTCTGGACTGTTCCATGAACACCCACACCTGTTGCTTCAGGGCCTTTGCACTTGCGGCTTCTTTTGCCTGGAGTGCTCTTCCCCAAACTACCCTCTGGACCTGCTCACCTGCTGCAGATCTCAGGCCAATGAGACCACCCTCCTAGCCCTGGGCCCATCTCTCCCCTCCCCCGCTCCATTTTCCTTCAGAGCACTTACCCACCTCCTAGCATTTTAAGTACATATTTCCTTGTTCTGTCACCCACGCCCACTGGAAATCCCCTCTATGAGGACAGGTTCTTTTATTCGTTCACTGCTATATCCCAGGGCCCAGAGCACATAGTAGGTGTTCAATAAACACTCATGGACTGAATCAATGAATGAGTGGTCCTCTCTCGACAGACACAAGGGTAAAGGTGAGATACTCCAATGGCTTCTAAGGTCTGGTAAAAGCAGCAACTAACACTTGAAGGTCACTCTATCACATTACCTCATTTAATCCTCAGTACAATCCCACGAGTGGGTTCTTTCCTATCCCCAGTTTACACATGAGGAAACTGAAACACAGAGAGAGAAAGCAACTTGCCTGGGGTCACACAGCCCCTGTTTCTGAAAAGCTGCTTAGTTCATTTCAGCATTTCCTGAGGTCTACCTCTGGATGTGCTCTGGGCCAGGCTCAGGGCTATCTTCAGGGAAGGAGAGGAATGGTGAGGGCAATAAAAGAGAAAGTCCATCCTTTCTCGCCCATAAACTTATGTTAATTTTTTTACACCCTTTATATAAATAAGGGGACATGCTATAAGAACACAAAGGGGACTGGAGAGAAGTGGGTGGAGCTTTCTATCTATAAATAAATATCATACATAATATAAATAAACACATAAGTAAATACATATATTTTAATAGTGGTAGGACTGGTGATCTTTCTCTTTTTCAAATATGCTCTTATTCTAAAAGTATAAAAATAAATAATTAGAAGTAGTAAAATATTTTAAAAGTAAATTAAGTTGAATTTCACACTTTAAACGGGTGAACTGAGTGGCATAAGAATTACATCTCGAAAGCTTTTATAAAAATAAATTAAAAATAAATAAATAGATAAATTCAGTGTAGGGTGGGAAACTCCTGGTGTAATGTGCTCTTATTTCCACAGGGGGCGCTCACACCATTCTGACAGATGCTCTCTGAGGAAGTGGGCCCTGGTTCACCGAGTCAGAGCATTAAAGGACCTGGCGTAGTTCACCTCTGTAAATCCTCAAGACAAAGTCTAACCAGGGTCACTTTGGTCTCATTCCCAAGGGGCACTTTCTTGGAATAAAGTGCGGCATAAGGGCACACACCCAAATCCTGGGTCTGCCATTTACCGGCCATGTGATCTTAGGCAAGCAACTTAACCTCTCTCTGTCCATTTCCTCACCTGCAAAATGGGGATAACAGTAGAATGTGAGTTGTAAGGCTGTGTAAAGAATAAATGAATTATTCTATGTAAAATGTTTAGTACAGGCCCTGACACCCCACAAGAGCACAATACGTGTGTCCCTATTACTATTATTATTGGTAGTAGTGGGGATGGTGGTATCTCCAAGCATCACTGCTATTACCATTATTAACACTACTACTGCTATTCGGAGGTGGTGTGTGGGCAGAATAAGGCAGTTATTAGGGGAAACATGGCACCAAAGCCTGGAGACTTGGCTCCTACTCCCAGCTGTCCCACGGACCATGCGTGACCTCAGACCAGCCATCGTCCCTCCCTACATGCCTTTTTATTCCACCTATAAAATGAGGACTTGGGTTAAATAAATGCAGGGTTTCCCAAACTTTGGTCAATTCCTTACCAATAACATGATTTTTGCAATATCCATGTACTGATTCTCTTGTTCCTGACTTTTAATATTTTTAAACGACTCATTTGTATTTAATGTTTAAACTTATTTAAAGAGAAAATTAGTATGATTCACTTTCCATAATGTAAGTCCTCCCCACAAAAAACATAACAGATAATAGAAGATTATTTTTGTCAGATAGAGGTTGCCTATTGAAGGCCCACGTGGTAGGGCTCAAAGGATTCTTTTGGGTAAAGCCACACTGAAGATCATGGCCAAGACGTCAGGCCGGGGGCTTGCTTTACCTCCTTCTCAGTCTCTGAATACTCCTTGAGTCTCTCCACGGCCACAATGTTGGTCTCCATCTCAGACGACATCCGAACAAGCCAGTTCAAGTATGTGGTGACCTGTGAGTGGAAGAGTCACATGGAGCTTCTAGAGTGAGCAAGAGTTGCTTTATTTCCATGAAGTCATTATTCATTATGAAATGTTTCAGATAACCAAGGTACACAAAAGAGCAACCCCAAATACTGTGGCCAGACTTCCTACATTGTGTCTCTTAAGCAAGCACCACATGTCAAAATAACCCAGGGGCCACACAAGTAATCAGAAAGGAAATGAAGAGATATTTTGAACCAGATGATAAGAAGAAAACACAATGTATCAAAATTTGGGAGATGCAGCTAAAGCAGTGCTTCAAGGGAAATTTATAGGATTAAGTACATTTCTCTTGTAGCTGGGGGCATCCTCTCATGCCATCAAGGACTCTCCTTGGCTGATGGGGGAATCAGGGCCGCACATCTAATTTCTCTCCTGCACCAGTCGGTCACTGGGCTCTAGACCTGCTCGTCAAACTCTACTTGGTCCCCTTTCCTCTCCCCCACTCCCACAGAGATCCAAAGCAAAGGCCCAAAAACCTGACAATTGGCTCCCCATTAAGAGAACTGGAAAATCCACCTGAGAGCACCCGCCTTACCTGCAGTGAGTAAGACACCGAGAGGCCCACCAAGCCAGCACTGAGACTGTGCCGGGAGATCACTGCAAACAGGGCGGCAAACAGGACAATGCAGTTGCCTACACACTCCAGCCGCACAGCCAGCCACCTACGTGGAGACACAGGCAGAGGGACGGATGGACACATGGACACACGGACACACACACACACACACACACACACACACACACACACGCCCGGAGTCAGCTTTTCAGGGACTTGATTTACAGCTGGGGGGCAGGGTGGTGGTGGTGGCCACTTTGCTAACTGAAATAATTCCCCAATAGTTCCTGAGAGAGGCCTCATTTGCCCTGCTCATGGGACATGGGGAAGGAGGGCCGAAGGGACACGATTTCAGGAATTCCTCACTAATCTGGCAAGCCCAGGAACTAAAATAGAGTTCTCCAAAAGTGACCTTTCCAGGAAACTGAAGCTTGCCTTTTTAAGAACCAACTTTCTCTCACTGAAACCTTTAAAATATACCCATGTGTGCTTTTAAAAATATGTCCCAGAAAATTCCTAAATACTAAGAAATCATCAACTATAAGAGGCACCCTCTGATTTAAAATAATTTTCTTCTTGGCAGGAGACGAGGAGGTGGGAGTGAGAAATAAACCACCATTTTCAACACAGCCAAAGGGTTCCCAGACCCAGATCACCCTCATTTCAAAAACATTAAAATGTATTGCCTTACCTTTAAAATATAAACAGGTTTACTGGTTTAAAGCTAACTTTTATAAGATATCACATAGGAACATTATTTTAATGTTTTAAAATGTAAAGCATTCTAGAAAACACAGTATTATCAACATTTTTTCCACTACAGCGTTAAGATCCATGTGACTGGTCCTCAGGGTGTGAGCTATTCCCACACACACCCAGATTTTGACAAACTCCCTAAAAATTCTTCAAGGGAAGGCAAGGTTCTCTCCAGTAATTCACAATCTCCCTGCCCAGTCTTACACGATGGGATTACATTGTGCACAGTGGGTCACTTCCAGGGTGCTATTACCCCTCCCCAGAGTTTTCCATCCCACATCTCAAAAAATACATCAGGAGGTAAGCAAGTGAGAAGGATACTTTTCCAGATTCGTCAATAATTAGCAAACTTCTACCCCCTTTTTTTGACTGATGGTATTTAATCATTCTTGATCCCCCAAATGGCAATTTCACATGGTTCAACCTAATAGAAGTAAACTGCTTCCAATACTCATCACACAGGGGTGGTGTGATGAGAAGCATGGCGCAAAAACACTCAATAGCTGAGGCTGCCGTCACTGATGATCCTGTAGCACCAGGACAACAGCTAAATGATGGATCCTGCAGTATCTTCTGACCCCAGAAGAACTCTTTGTCCCTGCACTCCAATGCCCCTGGAGCTGCGTGCTGACCGTGCTCCTTTCTGCTTTTAATGGTTATAATGTCCTCTCCTCGCACCAAGTCTATGACTCCACACCCTCATCCAGGAACCAAGGGGCTCCCCCTGCCCCCTCCCACGGCCCCACGCCCACCTGTTGGCCACGATGCTGGGGTAATAGGCCTTCTGGTTCTCGTCCACCTTCAGGTCGCTCTGGCGGATGAAGCGCTCCTGTTCCTCGAAGGCGCGGATGACGCTGACCCCCAGCAAGGTCTCGTTGAAGTGGGAATAAACCGGGGAGCGGCTGACTGACTCGAGGCGCTTCAGCTGCCGGGAGGAGGCCACGTAGAACCTCTGTGGGAGAGAAGAGACGGGGAGTGGGGGAGGGTCCCTCATCCCAGCCTCCCAGGGCTGCGCTGGAGAACGTCTGGATCCTTCCAGGGGCAAATGTTGGAGCTGGGCTGCTCTCAGAGGGTGTCCCGACTCAGCTGGCGAACGGCAGGCACAGCGCCCACAATCCTGCCGGTGGTGGTGATGATGATAATAGCTAACGCTTACGTGAAGCCCAGCATGCTAGGATTGTTTTAAGTTCTTTCACATATATCAGCTCATACAATCCTCACCAAAAACCTACGAGGTGCTCATTCCAGTTTCACAATGAGTAAACTAAAGACAACCTCTTCCCTAAGGTCACGTGGCTAGGAAGCGGCAGAGCTAGGATCTGAACCCCATCAAAGTGCTAACCTCAGCACTGCATGGCCCCTCTGATACCACTGACCTCTAGGGTTTATGGACCCTGCAGTGTGGCTTTATGACAACCAGACCTCAGTGCAAACCCTGCCTCCACCCGTCCCCATGGACAGTGACCACATCCGCTCTGCTCCTGCCCTAATCCCGGGCATTCAGCTCGTTAGAGATGGGTAACAAGATGGAGTCGCTCACTGGAAGTGCTGAGGAGCTGTGACACAGGCTGGACTGGTCATCTGAAGACACCTCTATTCTCCTGGACGTGCTGCAGATGTAACACTGCTTCATCAACAGCGGAGTCGGGCAAGCAGACACAGGGTGCTCAGGGACATGGCCTCCTGCCTCCTGGCCTGCGTTGGGTGCCCTGGGCCATTTTGGGGGCAGAGACCTTCCACGGAGAGCACTGAACAGAACAGGTGGCTCTGACAGGGCCTCCAAGGTCAGCCACTTCTTTCTGGATGGCAGCTCACGTGGTCATTTGAACCGCAAGCTGGGCAGCCTTCTGGGGCTCCAGAAACTCTGAAAACTCACCCAGGGACCACACCAACCAGGGCCATCTCAGAACAGTGGTTCTGACAATCCCTGCACACGGTCAGATGCTATCTCTTCCTCTGGCGGCAAAATGAAATCCAGACCTCCTGTCTGGCTCAAGGCCCCCTGGCATCTGTCCCCATTACCCTCTCCTGGAATCACCTCCTCTCCCTGGCTTTCTTTCATCCTGGGTGGAAACAGTTCTAAAACATTTTACCTGCTCAATTTATTCCACTTGTCATGTCCTCAGAATTTTATTTCCTCTAAAAAGCTAACCTGAGATTTATTTTTGTTAAGGAATAGCTTGGTTTTTAAAAAATAATTACTAGCTTTCCTTTTAAGCTCTGTTCCAGGAGACATAATCCACCTCGTGGACTCACCTTACTCTTTCAGAGACCAAGACAGTGCCTGGTCTCCTGAGTGAAAATAACTGCCCGACACACACCTGCCTTGTGCCAGGAAGCGGGCTGAGAGCCGAGACACTAAGACGTGTGCCGGGTAATTTTCATGGATGCCAAACAGTTCCACAGGCAGAAATGCCTTATTCCAGCAATGTGGAAGCCCAAACAGAATTCCACATCATCTTACCTCTTACATTCCTTTTTCTAAAAATGACTTGCTTTTAAGTTAAAACGGTAATGTATATCCATTTTTTAAAATCTTGGAGTGATATAGACAGAAAGATTAAACATTACGTTAAGTCCACAATCCAGAGATAAGCACTATTCAGATTTCAGTGTATAACCTTTTAGATCTTTTCCCGAGAAAGAGAGTGAGAGAGAATACATACCCTTACACACATACACCCTTAAAAGCCTTTTTTTTTTTTTTTTTGGCGGTACGCAGGCCTCTCACTGCTGTGGCCTCTCCCGTTGCGGAGCACAGGCTCCAGACGCGCAGGCTCAGCGGCCATGGCTCATGGGCCCAGCCGCTCCGTGGCATGTGGGATCCTCCCAGACCGGGGCACGAACCTGTGTCCCCTGCATCGGCAGGCGGACTCCCAACCACTGCGCCACCAGGGAAGCCCAAAAGCCACTTTTTGAGATGCAACTTACATCCACTGGAAAGTGCACTAAATCTTTACAGCTTTATGGATTTTATGTTTATCTACACCTGCATAGCCACTACCTGATCAAAATCTAGAAAATTCTCTCGTGTCCTCTCACAGTCAACACCCCTTCTAGCCACTACTCTGACTTTTACCACATCGTACTTGCCTGTTCTTCAACTTCATAAAAACAGAATCACACAAATGCACTCTTTTGTGTTTGGCTTCTTTCGATCAACATAGCATCTCTGAGATTCATCCTCCTTGTGTGTATTAGTAGTTCATTCCTTTTCACTGCTGAGTCATTGTATAAATATACCACAATGTATGTATCCATCCTCCTGTGATGGACATTTGGGGCTATTATGAATCGAGATGCTAAGAACATTCTAGCTTTTTTTTTTTTTTGCTTGATAGATTCTCTTCTTTTGCATATACACTGAGGATTGAGACTGCTGGGTTATAGGACAAGCATATATTCAGTTAAAAGCCATTAAAAAACTAAATTCTCCCATAATCTCAACCCTTAGAAAGGCAATGTTTTCATTTTTGTGCCTCTCTTTCCGTCCTGCCCACACACATTATGCACGTGGTCTTAGTTATAATGATAGTGTGCTGACAACATGGTCCTTCGCTAACTTCATTCCCTTTGTTGTTTAAAAATAAAATTGTCAGTGTCGCAACAGTGTCTTCCTAATTCTCCCATTAAAGGCACATAACATTCCATTACCCAGTTGTTCCATGGTGTGCTCAAGGCCCTGCTACTGGCAGATATTTGAGCTGCCTCAAACGTCGCATTTGGCCCATTTTGTTCTCTTGAATTGGGTCCTTCAGGAAATTGTCCAGCCAGGGTGTGAACTCGGATAGCATCTGGGTAAATGCAGCTGGATGACTTTCCAGAAAAGCTGGCACCAATTTAAAGAGAACACAGTGAGGGTCCGGGACCTGCTCTGATTCCACCTTTGTTCACACTCACCAGTCACTGGGCCACAGTGTGGGAGGGTTTGGGCGCTGGCTGACTGGGCCAAGGCCTCCCAGGACCCACACGAATAGGCCACACAGAGTGCGGTTTGAGGTATGGAGCACCTCGTGGTTTCTTAGTCTTACTTTGTGCAGCAGTCATTACGCTCCCATCTAAACAGCAGTCCCCCACTAGCAACTGTGCTGCAGCTAACCTCTCAGAGGCAGGAAAGCACAACGCAGCACTGCAGTTACCAGCAAGAGCTTTCGAATCGGGCACGAGTTCACATTCCCAGCTCCACCACTTGGGCCTCAACATGCTCATCTGTCAACTGGAAGCACCACAGCTGATGTTGACTCAGCTGTCAAATGCTCCCTTGCCCTGTTCCCCTTCCTCAAGCTTATTTTCTGAAATAGAAATGTGATGGCTGGACCTCCAGTAGCCAACTTGGACCATGAGACCAACTTAAGAACGGAAGGCAAAGACGATAGAACAACACCCCCTCCCCCCCCCCCGAAAAAAATACAACCCACAGTGAAGGAGTCTGGGATATTAACAAACTCATGGAGCTGCCACACCAGCCCTGAAGAGCCTACCTCAAGATTTCTATTACAAGGGAAAAAAATATTTAAGTTGCTGTTATTCATGTCTTCATTATCTGCAGGGGACTTAGGACCTAAAGAATTTCATACTTAAAGGAATTTTAATAATAAAGATGCCTTTATGGCTATAGCTTATTTTCTTTTATAACTTACAGCTTTAAAAAAACCCTTATTGTTAGGAAAAAAGGATATTTGGTTATTGCAAGCTAAAAACAATCAACTTAGGTATTCAAAACTGACAAAAATAAATCTAACCCTCCTCCAGCACGTCCTCCACAGCCCCACACTGAGGAAAAACAAAGGGAGCCCTGCGCTCACGTGGAGAGTGATACAGAGCTGGGCTTGTCCTGGACCCTAAGACCCCACCTCTTACCTGGACAAAGAAGTAGATGAGGCCCAGGGGCGGGATGATGACGGCCACCATGGGAGTGGCCAGCAGGATGATGATACAGGCGCCAATGACATTGAACAGGGAGCCCATGAACATCTTGATGACCTGCGGGATCATCGAGTCCACTGTGTCCAGCTCCTTGGAGAAGCGGTTCACCAGGTTCCCGCTGGGGGTCCGCTCGAAGAAGCTCATGGGCGATCTGAGGACGTTATGCAGCAGGTCCAGGTGCAGGCGGCGCGAGGCGAAGATGCCCCCGACGGACACCACCATGGAGTAGCCGAACACTGTGATACCTACAAACACTCTCGCGTTAAATTCCACGATGGGAGAGGGACCGGGCTGAGGGCAGGGACGCGTGGCCATGTGACCATGTGGACCAAGCAGCCTGGACTCCCAGCTTCTAATAACAATAATAATGGTGGCAATTATGAATCGAGCACTTAGTATGTACAAACCTCACTGTGTGTACAAACCTCACTTAGTATGTACAAACCTCACTCTCAACTTCCTCATAATCCTTATGAGGACCCTGTATAAGTTCTATTAGTACTCATGCCACAGAGATAAGGAAATTGAAGCTCAGGTAGGTGAATTCCTTTGCCCTCAATAGACCCAGCCAATCAGAAGCAGAGCTGGGGTTCCCACGGCAGCAGCCTGCTCCAGCGTCATGCTCTTATCTGTACGCCTCATCCTCTAGACCAGCGCTGTACAGCAGAACTTTCTGTGATAATGGAAATGGTATGCAACTATGCTGTCCCATGTGGTAGCCACTAGCGACATGCAACTATTAAGCATTTGTCATATGGCTAGTGTAATTCTATAACTGATATTTTAATTTTATTTTATTTTTATGAACTGAAATTCAAATAGCCACATGAGGCCAGCGGCTACCATACTGGACAGCACAGCTCTGGAACAGACATTGCTGCTATGGGTCCAGGTCAACATCACACCCTCTCTGTGCTCTCTCTTCTCTTAATTATAATCTGAAGGCCACAGACCCTAGCCCTTTGAGGGAGTTTTAGGGATTAGGAAATTGCCTGCCCTTCTGGTTTTTTTCAAAGCCATCTCTTGGAGATCATGAGACATTTATGGTCCCTCCAAACAAGCCACAGTAGGGCACCCTTTCTGTTCAGAGAGGTGATTTCACAGGGATAGAGAAGTTTCGATCTTGGTCTCCTTGATCAAAGAAGGAAGCCATGAGGCAGGGGCTAGGACAACAGACTCTGGAGCCAAATCCTCTCGCTGCCACTCACCAGCCATGGGACCTTCCTTAAGTCACTTAACCTCTCTGCACCTCAGTTTCTTCAACTGTAAAATGGGGGACAATGACACATCTTGTAACACTGCTGAACGTAAAGGGCCCACCTGGCAATGTGCCTGGTACACAAGAAGTGCTCCAAATGCAGAATGTATACACTATTTATCATAAATACATCATTTTTATGAGCACATAAACACATAGCTCAGGGACCATGTAGCGTGGTGGTGAAGAGGATGGGCTCTGAGCCACACTGCCTTGCTCAATGCAGCTGTGCCATGGATTAGCTTCATGACTTTGGGCAACTTACTTAACCCCTCTGGGCCTCAGTTTCTGCATCTCTAAAATGGGGGAACATTAGCTCCTACCTCATGTGATTGCTGCAAAAGTAAAATAAATTAAAACACCTTAAAGTGTTTAAAACAGAACCAGGCACCAAGTAAGTGCTCAGTAAACATTAGCTATGACTATTAACGCTGCTGTGTCTAGGTACCTTCATGGGACCACAGGAAGGGTATATGCAGGATTTCTCAACTTCCTCACTATTAACATCTGGGGCTGGAACATCCTCTGCTGTGGAGGCTGTTCTGTGTACTGCAGGACGTTTAGCAACATTCTTGGCCTCTAGATGCCAGTAGTATCCACCCCTACTCTGAAGCTGTGACAACTCTAAGTATCGCTAGATATTGCTAAATGTCCTCTGAGGACAACACTGCCTGCATTATGAACCACTAGTATAAACTAATTCCCACCTTTAGGCAGCAGGCAAAAGTCCACAAATAAGACTTTACAGAAACACCATTACCCTGCCAGAACAATGAGGGGCAAGGGCCCTTGGTCGCCTTCTATTTCTCAACTTTCCTCATCTGTAAAATGGGCACATTGGAGCTCCCCTCCCCTCTGTCTCCTAGGGCCACACGAAACAGAGCGTTCGAGAAACATTCATTCTACAAATACCTCAGTGTCTATTATGCGATAGTTACTATTCATGTGTGTTTGGTTTGTGGGTCTGCAAAACCCTGACAAGCTGGGGGACCCAATCCTGTAACAAGACATGGAAGTGGCTCCAAGTGCCAACAGCAGGTGGGGGGCAGGGAGGCCCACCTTGAGAAATGCCCAGGGCTCCATAGACGCTCAGCCGGACTTTCGTGTGCTCCTGGGTCCCATTGACGATGGGGTCATCAGTCCAGAGACTGAGCCAATAGTTAGAGGCCAGAGAAGCAACGTGGTTACACAGGAAAAGGAAGATGCTCAGAAAGGAGATGAAAAGTCCTATCGCCTTCATGTAGTCCCAGTACACGGAGAGCTTGACCTGAGACCAGGGAGAGAAGGCATCTTACAGAATGCACCCACCAGCCATGCCCACCCAAGGTCAGGAACTTCAACAGCTTCTGTGGTCCAGCCCCCTAACCTGTGCTCATGCCTACGACCCCCTCCCCCTTAGTTCCTCGGCAAACAAGTCAGCAGCAGCAAAGTCAAGGTTTCTGCCCTCACGGAGCTTCCAGTCAAGTGGCAAGACAGGCTTTCAACAAATCATTGCCCAGATAAATGCATAATCCCAGAGAAGGGCTGGAAGTGGTACATGATTTCATATGAGTATAAAACTGGGCATCCTGACCTAACCCAGGGTGGGGAGGTATCAGAGGAGGTTCTCCCTAAGGAAGGGACATCAAAGAATTAACCAGGTGAAAATGGAAAAAAGGCACTCCAGGCAGAGGGACCAGCATGTGCAAAGGCCTTGACGTAGGAGGGAACCTGAAAGGAGGAAAGGATGGCTGGAGCAACATGAGGCTGAAGGACAGGAACCGGCCAGACCACACAGGGCCTGAGAGATCCTGTCCAGGATTCCGATTTTTACTCTAGGACCATCAGGAAGCCATCAAAAAGTCTGAAGAAAATGGGAAGATGGGACGTGTTGCCTAGCACCCACGACCAAGTGTCACATCCCCCCCACCCCCAGTCCTCTGAACACCCAACACCAATTCCTCCCAATCGCAACTGGCCTCCCATTGCTCAGCCCGTTCCCCAACTCCACCAGGTGACAGCTGGGGGCTTCTTTCACTCCTATATCCCTATGGAGCCCAGCATGGGGGCTACGTAATTATGTGTAGCCACTCAAAGGGTGGCTGAACACCACAGACAGGGACAATGTGCTTTGGGCCAGCCTCACACCCAACCCGCTTGGTGTGGTTTCAACAAACTCCAGGTATCTTTCCCTGTGTGTGTGCTCATTGTCACGTCAGGCTTTTCATGCTGAATTTTGGGTCATAAGATAAGCATCATCTGTTTGAGGTGCAATCTGGTTAAAAGGAAGCAGGTGAGGGCTTCCCTGGTGGTGCAGTGGTTGAGAGTCTGCCTGCCGATACAGGGGACACAGGTTCGTGCCCAGGTCTGGGAAGATCCCACATGCCGCGGAGCGGCTGGGCCCGTGAGCCATGGCCGCTGAGCCTGCGCGCCCGGAGCCTGTGTTCCGCAACTGGAGAGGCCACAACAGTGAGACGCCCGCGTACCACACACACACACACAAAAAAACAACTAAAAAACAAAAACAAAACAAACAAAAAAAAATGAAGCAGGTGGAAGAACAGAGGTCCAAGGTATAACTGAGTGCTTCCTTTTTACTTTCCAAGTCTCTGTGCTATAGATGGAATGTTCGTGTCTCCTCCCGAATTTGTAAGTTGAAATCCTAATCCCCCACCCTCCATGTGACAGTATTAGGAGGTGGGGCCTTTGAGAGGCGATTAGGCCATGAGGGTGGAGTCCTCATAAATGGGATTAGTGCCCTTATAAAAGGGGCCCCAGAGAGCTTCCTCATCCCTTCTGTCATGTGAGGACACAGCAAGAAGATGGCCATTTATGAACAGGAAGATCTCATTAGACACTGCATCTGCTGGTGCCATGATTTTTGACTTGCCAGCATCCAGAATTATGAGTGATAAATGTATGTCATTTGTTTTTCTTTTTGGATGTGGAACATTTTTAAAGTCTTTACTGAATTTGTTACAATATTGCTTCTGTTTCATGTTTTGGTTTTTTGGCCCCGAGGCTTGTGGGATCTTAGCTCCCTGACCAGAGATTGAACCCACATCCCCTGCATTGGAACATGAAGTCTTAACCACTGGACTGCCAGGGAAGTCCCCAACGTATGTCATTTCTAAGCCACCTCTACCATGGTCTTCTGTTACAGCAGCCCAAAGGGACTAAGACAGGTATTAAAGTCAAAGCCCCGGCCGAGACTTTCTCACTGACATACAGGCACACCTCAGAGACATTATGGGTTTGGTTCCAGACCACTGCAATAAAGCAAACATCGCAATAAAGTGAGTCACACGAATTTTCCAGTTTCCTAGTGCATATAAAAGTTATGTTTACACTATACTGTAGTCTATTAAGTGTGCAATACCATTATGTCTAAAAAAACAACGTACACACCTTAATTTAAAAAATACTTGATTGCTAAAAAATGCTAACCATCATCTGGGCCTTCAGTGAGTTGTAGTAGTAACATCCAAGATCACAGATGACAAATATCATAATATAATGTTAATATAGTATAATAATAACCAATATAATATTTTATATAGTAATAATAACAACAAATTATAATGCTATCGAAAAAGTTTGAAATATTCGAAGAACTACCAAATGTGGCAAAGAGACACAAAGTGAGCAAATGCTGCTGGAAAAATGGCACCAGTGTCCCACGCAGGATTGCCGTAAACCTCCAATTTGTAAAAAATGCAGTCTTTGTTAAGTGCAATAAAGCAAAGCACAATAAAACAGGATCTGCCTGTAATCATAAGGGCAAAAATAGAAATTAAAAAGTGAAAAACAATTTTTTCTGACTACACAATTAATGTTCTATAGGGCTGAATCTGTGATGACCTGAAACCAAGGAACACACAACTGAACCCTGTGAGGTGGGAAGCCCTGATTTAAGGCATCCGGGTCACCTACGGCTTACAAGGGCCCCAGCTGCTCGAAGGAGGTGGTGGTCAGGACGGCAGAGACTACAGATACCAACCCTGGAGTCTGAGTTCCAGGTTCAAATCCCAGCTCTGTCACGCACCAGCTGTGACCTGGGGCAAGTCACCTAGGCCCTCCGGTATGGTTTCCGGCCCTTAAAACAGTACCTTTCGAGGCTCCTTGTGAGGAAGACATGAATTAAGACGACCCCAGCACTCCGCACAGGGTCCAGCCCCCAGGGACACACAGCGACGCGGGCCGTCGCCCTCACCTGCCCAGTCTGAGCCTTGTCTGCCTCCATCAGCTTCCAGGTGTCCTCCTCCACGGGCCTGGGCTTCTGCAGCTCCGCGGTGCTGGTGTGGTGCCGGCTGACATCCCCGCCGTAGGAGGAGCTGCTGAGCTGTCTGGGGAAGCAAGGCACACAGGCGTCAACCGCATGGAGGCCCCGGGCAGAGGTGGGGCCCCAAAGCACCAAACTAGTTCCCCCTTGTGATTTTACACAGGTGACCCCGAGAGGGGAAGGGTCTGGCCCCAGGGCCCCATGGAAGAACCGCTCCTTTATGCAGACTTTATTCAGAAAGCATTTCCTGCCCACCAGTACTCACCAGCTTTATGCAGATCATGACAGATCATCATTCAGAGCGCTTTCCTCCCTGGGGCAGTCTCTTTCCCTGAGGAGGTGTATGCTTGGGGAATGACATGGGTGTGTGTGCGTGTGCGTGCGTGTGCGTACACGGCTCAGACCCACACAAGCAGAGGGATGGGGTACGATTTCCACCTTGGTCATCAACCCTACTGCCTTCTTGGTTTGCCTGCCTTGATGAAGCGTGTGTGGAGGTCGGAGAAGCCCACGGAGCTGGGAACGGAGGGATGCTCCAGGCTGTGGCCAGTTAGGAACTGAGGAACTGAGTCCTGCCAACGGCTACGTGAGCTTGGAAGCCGACCCTTCCCCAGCCCAGCCTTTAGCTGAGACCCCAGCCTGGCCAATGCCTTGGTTACAGCTTGTGAGAGACCCTGAGCAGAGGAGCCAGCTAAGCTGTGCCTGGACGCCTCGACCCACAGAAACTGAGATGACAAACCACTAAGCTTGTGATCCTTTGCTATGCAGCAATGGAAAACGAATACCCAGTGTTCTGTGTGTTTCTGCTCAGTCCACCCGTGGCTCTCTCTCGCAGTAACCTGCCCCTACGTCCCAGGACAGCCTGCAGGAGCCTGCCTCATCTCAGCTAATTCTTAGACTAATTATGCTGGCCACCTGCGCAGACCGGGGCAGTGTCCCCTCACCCCGCGGCTGACTCCGGGCAAGGCACTGTTCTAAGTGCTTTACACACACACACACACACACACACACACACACACACACACACAC